TCAGTGAGGTAGCCTCAGTGAGCTAGCCTCAGTGAGGTAGCCTCAGTGAGGTAGCCTCCGTGAGGTAGCTTTAGTGAGGTAGTCTCAGTGGGGTAGCCTCAGTGAGGTAGCCTCAGTGAGCTAGCCTCAGTGAGCTAGCCTCAGTGAGGTAGCCTCAGTGAGGTAGCTTTAGTGAGGTAGTCTCAGTGGGGTAGCCTCAGTGAGGTAGCCTCAGTGAGCTAGCCTCAGTGAGGTAGCCTCAGTGAGGTAGCCTCCGTGAGGTAGCCTCAGTGGGGTAGCCTCAGTGGGGTAGCCTAGGTGGAGTAGCCTCAGTGAGCTAGCCTCAGTGAGCAAGCCTCAGTGAGGTAGCCTCAGTGAGGTAGCCTCAGTGGGGTAGCCTCAGTGGGGTAGCCTAGGTGGAGTAGCCTCAGTGAGCTAGCCTCAGTGAGCCAGCCTCAGTGAGCTAGCCTCAGTGAGGTAGCCTCAGTGAGGTAGCCTCCGTGAGGTAGCCTCAGTGGGGTAGCCTCAGTGGGGTAGCCTAGGTGGAGTAGCCTCAGTGAGCTAGCCTCAGTGAGCTAGCCTCAGTGAGGTAGCCTCAGTGAGGTAGCCACAGTGAGGTAGCCTCAGTGAGGTAGCCTAGGTGGAGTAGCCTCAGTGAGGTAGCCTCAGTCAGGTAGTCTCAGTGAGGTAGCCTAGGTGGAGTAGCCTCAGTGAGCTAGCCTCAGTGAGGTAGCCTCAGTGAGGTAGCCTCCGTGAGGTAGCCTCAGTGGGGTAGCCTAGGTGGAGTAGCCTCAGTGAGCTAGCCTCAGTGAGCCAGCCTCAGTGAGGTAGCCTCAGTGAGGTAGCCTCAGTGGGGTAGCCTCAGTGGGGTAGCCTAGGTGGGGTAGCCTAGGTGGAGTAGCCTCAGTGAGCCAGCCTCAGTGAGCTAGACTCAGTGAGGTAGCCTCAGTGAGGTAGCCTCCGTGAGGTAGCCTCAGTGGGGTAGCCTCAGTGGGGTAGCCTAGGTGGAGTAGCCTCAGTGAGCTAGCCTCAGTGAGCCAGCCTCAGTGAGTAGTCTCAGTGAGGTAGCCTCAGTGAGGTAGCCTCAGTGAGGTAGCCTAGGTGGAGTAGCCTCAGTGAGCTAGCCTCAGTGAGCTAGCCTCAGTGAGGTAGCCACAGTGAGGTAGCCTCAGTGAGGTAGCCTAGGTGGAGTAGCCTCAGTGAGGTAGCCTCAGTCAGGTAGTCTCAGTGAGGTAGCCTCAGTGAGGTAGCCTCACACTCAGTTAAAGTTCCTGAATGTTTGGTCTGCTTCAGTGTGTGGCAGTCAGCAGAAAGCTCTCCTCTCATATTATCTGTAAATATGTGCTTTCTGCTGCTGTCTGGTTACGTCACTGAGCTAAACTCACACCATGACCTCCAGCACACGGGTGGCCGTCACATCGGCAGACTGTTAGTCTCAGTGAGGCAGCAGGTAATCATGGCTGAACTCTTCCTGTGTTTTATGGTGTGTAGTAATTAGTAATTAGTGCTGACTCTGCAGAGCGAGCTGCCTCTGCGTTACGCTGGGCCAACTATGAAGCCAGAAACCTGCCACACGCACAAAAAGCAGTCAATTTAAAACGCACTGCTCTGCAAACACATTTTCATCATTTAATGAGGTCCCTAATGTGTTAGAAGCATCAGTTCATTCATTCAACGTTTGTCAGCGTGAGGTTAGAACCGACCGGAGAAAGTAAACTGCTGCCATTGGCTACTTTCCAGGAAGTCCCGCCTCTTTGGACCGTTCTCTTCCTGCTTGTGGCTAGAAGCATAGACATATATAAAGAGTATACCCCGCATCGACCACTCTCCAGAGATTCAGGGGCGCCATCTTGGGGCGGTCGACTGCTCTGCTTGGTGTAATGTGCTGACCAGGCTCAGAATCAATTTTAGTCAACATAACCTGCTGAATATTTAACTAATTTTCACATTGCTTCTTTCTAATAACTATAGCTATTATACCAAATGGTTCAGTGCATTTAAATATTTAGTTAGTGTGGTTAAAAGTAATATAATATTCAGACAGGATGTATGTTGCAAATAACATCCATTCATACATTTTAATAATTTTTTACTACCATATACAAACACACAGTTAAACACAAACTTATACACACACACACATATATAAATCTATTTATTTATATGGTCGATTCTTTAACTAAGGCCACTTTTATGTCCTTTGATCATATTTCATGAAACAATTTTAAAAAAGGGAAATTTCACACCTTTATAGTTATCTTTACAATGAAACTGTTTTAGGACATTTGTTTTAGTAGCCTGTAATGACCTTTTCACCTTTTTTCAACCTGATTTATAAATGTAAATATTACCGTTCTGTCCTCGTCCCCAAACCCAGACCTTTGATCTTCAATGATAAAAATGAAAAGTAAAAAATATCAATAAAATAATCAAACTATAATTGAATTAATTGTAGTTGTCCCACACTATTCACAACACTGTAATGTCCCTTTAAAAAGTTCCTATGAAAGATTGTTTGGGTTGTTGCTATGGAGATGAACAGTGACATCACATGGTGGGAATTTTGACTTCATCCATCAACTTTTGAAGTAAAGCCAAGGTAAATATTACTTGAAATGAAAATGTATTTATTGTATGTATTTTCCAAACATGGCGTAACATCAACTCAGTTTGGAAATTGTTATTTTAGGACAATATTTTTAAGTATAAAATGCTAGAGACCCTTTGTTACATGATCTCTCTAATATTAGCTAAAAGCCCTAAAAAAGGACTGTTCTGCAGAGCTTTTCCCCTTCTGGAGTTCCAGAGTGTGACTTTGGCGATGTGGTGCCAAACTTGTGGAAAGTTATCCCTCGAGCTCTGACGTCAATAGTCTGTCGATTCAAACAGAAAAACGCCGCACAGTGCTGAGGCATCCTTCGTCTGACCAGCTGAAATCAGCAGGATAGGTTAGAAGTTCGACTGCACCAAGATGGCCACCGTAATTCCTGCGCCGCGCGTGTCAGTGCGGGGTCTACTCTATATGTCTATGGCTAGATGTGTTAGCAAAGCAGAAAACCAGCATGGACTCATGCTAACGATACTGCGGGGGCCTCAGGGTGCCGAATCTGCACGCATAAAACATTTAAAATAAGCGTTTAGAGAGGAGTTGATGTGCATGTTTTTAAATAAAACTACTGGTATGAGTATTTATTACTGCAGTATTCAGACTTTATACTCCATATATATGGGTTAATGAACAGTAACACAAAAAGTTTCAAGGAAAAATGAGTAAAAACTTCCTAAATTAAGTGTATTTAGCTTTAATTTAAGCAGGTAAATAAGATGATCTGCCAATGGAATCAATATTTTTACTCTTAAAATAAGATAATTAGATAAAATGCACTCGAAATAAGACAACATAATTGTTCTTTTTTTATTTTAAATATAAATTGTCTTGTTTTCTTCTTAATTCCAGAAAAAATGCACTTATTTTGAGATTATTTTTTTTTTGCAGTGTACAGTTCTAGGCCTCTTTTTTACACTGAAAAACCAATCGTAAAAAGCAATAAAAAATATCTTTAAATAAGTGCATCTATCCTTAATTTGAGCAGGAAAACCAGATCATCTGCCGATAGAAGAAGCGTTTTTGCCCTTAAAATAAGACAATACGATATTATCCACTAATAACACTGCAAAAAATGGACATCTAAATAAGTCATATTAACTTAAAATAAGTGCTTTTTATCTTGAATTGAGGAGTTAAGTGAGACACTTTAAAAATGGAACAAGACAATTTACATTAAAAATAAGAAAAAACAATTGCTTCGTCTTATTTCGAGGGCATTTTATCTGATTATATTTTATTATTACCAGCTCAGATTAAGGCTAAATACACTTAATTTAAGACATTTCTTATTTATTTCTAGATGGGTTTTGCAGTGAAGGCAAAGTCTGTGTCCAAACGTCCGCTGTAATGACCTTATATGGGTTACGCCATTTTGACGTCCGAACATCTAGTGGATGAAACAATACCGGACTCCAAATTTCACACAATGCAACTTAAAAGTAGCGATAATTCATGGTCACTAAATGAGCAGAGATATCCCATGATGCTTTGCGAGGAGAGCTCTCCTCACAAAGCATCATGGGATTTGTTGTAGCAGTAATAGATAACAAAGATGGCGCAAGAACCGCCCCGACGGAGTTAATTGACCAACTGGGAGTGAAAAGCAGTGATCATCTGTCTGAACGGTCAGTTAACTGAGTTCACTATAATGTTCACTATAGAGTCCCCGCTCTATATAGTGATGCACTGCAAAAACAAATTTTTTAAATTTTTTATGTAAATTGTCTTGTTCCATTGGGCAAGTGTCTCATTTACCGACTCGAACCAGGAAAAAACTGCACTTATTTTAAGTTAAACTGATTAGGGTTAATTTTTTTTCATTAATTTAACTTTATTTCAGTAATTTGAAATCGCTACGATAGCTAACAGAACTCTGCCGATCAAAATGCCGGTTTCTCTTCACCGTGGAGACGATCCTGCTCTCCTTTAGGACGTCTTCCTTTAAAAATGGCATCACACACTGAGTGGATGTATTTCATGTGTTCCTTTCAGGGATCACTTTAAAAGCAGAGCTGGTTTTGGTGTCCAGACCTGCCTGACCCGGACGGGTTGGGGGCCCGGTCCCCGATAACCTCACCCACATCAGAGGTTTTTTTGGAATTAAAATAATTTCCTCACTGCTCAAGCTCTACATTTGTTGTTGCGATGTTCTGGTCAGATAAATAATAAATAAATAAATTAATGGGAAGATGGACGTCAGACTGAAGACCTGGGTGTGGGATGGCGGGTCGAATCTAGACGGAGATACCATGGATTGGTTGGATAGAATCAGGTTCATGGGTTAGAAAGGCCTAGTCAAAGCCTGGAGAGAAATCCAGCTCAGAACTTTGAACGTAATTTACCTGAGATGGAGCGTTTTACTAGGAAGCCGTTTTCCCTTTAACAATTGTGTCATTTGCTTGTGTTTGTGCAGGAGTGAGTATCGCCAAAAACATGAGGTGGCAGCGGTTGGAGGTACACCATAACGGAACCCTCATCATCAGAAACTCCCAGGAAACTGATGCGGGTCGGTACCTGTGCACAGTTCAGAACCAGTACGGTACGGACACCATGACCGCCACCCTTCTTGTCTCTCATCAACCTCCACTGAGAGACATCCACGTGTACGAAGGAGGGAAGGCTGAACTGGAGTGCAAAGTCGCAGGAGATCCTCGTGTGTCGTGGATCCTCCCGAACTCGGTCCAGATGACTGCGACCTCAGCGGCCGCGCCTTCTCCTCCGCAGCGCGTGGCCGTAGATGAGATGGGAACTCTTCTCATAAGCAGCGCCCATTTAATGGACGCAGGGATCTACAGATGCAGTGTGCCTGGAGGTAACGGCATGCAGGTACGTCTTCGTGTATCAGCGGTTCCTGCACTGATTGAGCAGGAGAAAGACCAAACAGTTGTTGTTTCAGAGGGCAGCGCTGCCTACATCCACTGCGCCGCCTCAACTGCCACTCGGCCAATCATTCGCTGGATCGCGCCGGGCGGCATGCAGCTCCCTGATCCCCATCCACCCAACGGAGGGAACTTTATCGTCTTTCCAAACGGAACTCTTCACATAAAGAGATTAGCCTCTAAGGACTCTGGGAGATACATCTGCACAGCCGGTAATGCAGCCGCATCGAGCAGCAGAGCAGTGATCTTAAGAGTCATAAGTAAACCATCTTCTGCTAAAGCCACGATAACAGCCTCCTCTCCAAAGACGACGGATGTGACCTACGGGAGTCCGCTGCTTCTGAACTGTGTGGCGGCAGGGGAACCAGAGCCTCGGATCATCTGGAGGACGCCCTCTAAAAAGCTGGTAGATCATCAGTTCAGGTGAGGAACGGAACGAGTTCGCAGATCGAGCGAGTCAAAACGTTCGGAATAATCTGAAGATCGTTTCAATGCTGTTCTGTCTGTGTTGCGCAGCTTTGACTCCAGGATCAAGGTGTTCCTGAACGGCAGCCTTAGCATCCATTCAGTGACTGACAAGGACCGAGGCGACTACCTGTGCGTCGCCCGCAACAAGATGGGCGACGACTACATTCAGCTCAGGGTCAACGTCTTGACCAAACCTGCCAAGATTGAGCAGAAGATGCAGAAGTCGAGTCAGGAGGTTATTCGAGGCCAAGATCTGAAGGTGGACTGCGTGGCGTCTGGCCTCCCCAGCCCTCAGATCAGCTGGGCTCTACCCGATGGGACCATGGTCAACCCCGTCAAGCAGAGAGCAAGGGTCGGTGGGGGACGCAGTCGCAGGTGTGTGCCATTGCTCTTTAGTCAAAGTACGTTCTTGCTCTGCCCGAATCTCACCAAGTCCAGTAAATTGATCCCTAACAGCTTCCTCTCTCCCCTTTCCCTACAGGTATGTGGTGTTCGACAACGGGACGCTGTACTTTAATGAAGTCGGACTGCCAGAGGAAGGGGATTACATCTGCTATGCACAGAACCAACTCGGCAAAGACGAGATGAAGGTGCGAGTCAGGGTGAAAGGTGAAACCACCCGACCCCAAATCCAGGATAAAGGTCCAAAGACCGTCCGAGTTCTTCACGGCGAGACAGTAGCACTCCAGTGCAAGGCCATTGGCGACCCGGTACCAGTCGTCACCTGGATGTCCCCTAAGAACAGACTCATATCCCCCGACTCGAACAAATACCAGGTTCTTCAAGACGGGTCACTAGTTGTTCAAAAGGTTCAGGGACCTGATGGAGGTAATTACACATGTTTGGCTAGAAGCAGCGTTGGACAAGATGATAAAGTTACCCGAGTGGAGGTTTTGCCAACTCCTCCAGTTATCAATGGCTTAAGAGGAGATTCCGACACTATAGAGGTTACCGCGGTTCAGGGTGAGAGAACGCTGGTGGACTGTGCCACAAAGGGAGCCCCTTCCCCTCGAGTCATGTGGATTCTGCCAGGAAATGTCATCCTTCCTGCACCGTACTACAGCAATCACAGGACCGTTCATCCGAACGGTACTTTAGAAATACGATCCACCCAGAGGACAGACTCAGGACAGATGGTCTGTGTGGCTCGTAATGAAGGAGGGGAGGTCCGAATGCTGGTCCATTTGGAAGTAAAGGAAACGGTCAGGGGGGCCAAGATTGAAGCCCCAGAGAAAGAAAGCTTTGCACTGAGAGTGGGGAACTCCGTCACCCTCAACTGTACCATCGATGGCTTGGAGTTAACTCATCTGACGTGGATCTTACCCGATGGCACTCCTCTGAATACCGGTGCTCGGATTTCTAAGTTTTTCCACCGGCTTGATGGCTCTCTGGTTATTAGCAATCCGTCCGTCGCTGAGGCTGGAGTTTACCGCTGCATGGGTCGTAATCCTGCTGGGCTCTTTGAGAGTACCATCACTCTGTCCCCAGGGAGAAAGCCTCAGATCCTGAACAGATACATCTCTCCTGTCAGCGTCCTAGACGGGGAGACCCTTTTCCTTCACTGTCAAACCACTGGGGAGCCCCTCAGACTGACATGGACCCTACCCAGCGGGGTCGTTCTTAACAGGCTGCAAAACGCTGGAAGGTATTCTATTCTGCAAAACGGCACCATTGCCATTCGCCAAGCTTCCATTTACGACCGAGGGGCCTATGTTTGTAGAGCTGCTAACGAATACGGAAGCTCTTTGCTTTCGGTCTCAGTAAAAATAGTCGCTAACCAACCCAGAATTACCTGGGGGCCGCCCTCTGTGACCTACGCCAAACACGGAGTTGCCGTTCAGCTGAACTGTGCCACCGCCGGGACCCCCGCAGCAGAGGTGTCTTGGGAGACGCCTGATAAGGTGCGGATGGTCGTGAGCGCACAGCCCCGACTTTTCGGAAACAAGTATCTCCACCCGCAAGGTTCCCTCATCATCCAGAATCCAACCCAACGAGATTCTGGAGTTTACCGCTGCACGGCCAGGAACGCTGCCGGCGTGGACTCCAAGACCACATTTCTGAATGTATTCTAACGCGAAGCCGTGGCCAAACCGTACGCCCAAGCAACTGCCGGAGACAACGCCAGAGTGGCGGTAAAAAAGCACCAAATCACCCACCATGGGTTTCACCTGTAACAGTGCTTCACCCATGGCCAACTTGGAGGCCTAACGCCAACCGTGTGAGCTCCCTACTTGACTCATGACAGAGCTTTGTGTAAATACATAACTGCTCAGGTAATTTGGATACAGAAACTCTTCCTAGATGTCTTCATCAGGCTTGTTCCCTATTTAACTGTCCTAATTCTGTCACTTACTATTGGAGATGGAAATAAATTATTAAGGAGAAAACATGTTTCTAAGTGTCGGTGTGTGAAATAATTTCAAGAGAAATGAGGCTGCAGTAGGATTTCCGCAGATCTTATGTGGACTGTGAGGTAATATAGAGAGATGGAAGGTTTAAGGGAATACCTCGTCATTTTCTGTCATGGTGGTTTCTCTCTGGGCTTCAAGGCCATGATAGACACGTTCATTGCAGGTCAGAAACAAGTCAGCAGTACATGAAAAAGAGTCTGCTTATTTTCCAAAACATAATCCCATTGAACCAAAGGAGCCAAGTGAAGAGTTCCAGTCAAAGGGTTGGCAACAGCAGTAGGTCCGCCATGAAAAAGTGACTTTTTGTCCAGCAGCTTTGTTCTCAGCTGTTAGCTGATGCTACATTTGATTGGTTTAAGGACTTTAAAAGAGCCACTTAAATAAAGACTGAAATCTAATGGATGAGGTGCAACAATGAAGTCAGGGAGAAGAAGAGCAAATGTTTAGCTTTGGTTAAAAAAAATGATGATATTTCTTTATGTGACCTAATCAGAATCATAAGAAGCCATGACATCATCGTCCTGTGTAAGAAAATGGTTGGTCAAAGCTTCTAGCTGCTTTAACCAGAACCAAAATTATTTTATTATAATCTATTTAATCATCTTCTATTCTTATCTATTCTATTGTTCTATTTTAATCTAATCAATTCTGTTATGTTATATTCTATTCTATTTTATTTTTGGCTATTCTTATCTATTCAATTCTATGATTTTGTTATTTTCTATTTAATTATTTTCCATTTTATTCTTGTGTACTATTATTTTGTATTTTATTCTATTTTGTTTCATTGTATTTTACTCTAGTCTCTACTGTTGTATTTTAACCTATTTCATTCTATTATTTTCTGTTCTATTGTAATCTATTTAATTGTATTCTATTTTTTTCTATTCTGTTCTGTTCTATTGTAATCTATTTAATTCTCTTCTATTTAATCTATTTGGTTAAAAAAAAGGATGATTTATCTTTATTGGACCTAATCAGAACCAATCAGAATCATGAGAAGCCATGACATCATCGTCCTGTGTACAAAAAGTGAGGAAATAAATCTCTCTTCTTATTCTCATGTTTGGGAGCAGAAATAATGTGGGTTAGCCAAACAGGAGGAGTAGAGTCCAATGAAATGTCAGAGAGAGGGAAAACAGCTCAGCGTCTGGATGGAAAGATCTATGCTCAGCTGCAATCCATTAGCCTGGGGGCCTTCTGTACGGGGACGCCAGCGTCGCCTCCTCATCTGGGACCCGTTCTGCTTTCAGGAGTTTTCCACAATAAAATCAGAAATTAAAAAAAGGCTTGTTGTTGCAGAACATCGTCTCTACTGATCACGGTCCCCTCTACCCCCCGCCCTCTGATCACGGTCGCCTCTACCCCCCGCCCTCTGATCACTGTCGTCTCTACCCCCCGCCCTCTGATCACGGTCGCCTCTACCCCCCGCCCTCTGATCACTGTCGTCTCTACCCCCCGCCCTCTGATCACGGTCGCCTCTACCCCCCCGCCCTCTGATCACGGTCGCCTCTACCCCCCCGCCCTCTGATCACGGTCGCCTCTACCCCCCGCCCTCTGATAACGGTCCCCTCTACCCCCCGCCCTCTGATCACGGTCGCCTCTACCCCCCGCCCTCTGATCACGGTCGCCTCTACCCCCCGCCCTCTGATAACGGTCCCCTCTACCCCCCGCCCTCTGATAACGGTCGCCTCTACCCGCCGCCCTCTGATCACGGTCGCCTCTACCCCCCGCCCTCTGATCACGGTCGCCTCTACCCCCCGCCCTCTGATAACGGTCGCCTCTACCCCCCGCCCTCTGATCACGGTCGCCTCTACCCCCCGCCCTATGATCACGGTCGCCTCTACCCCCGCCCTCTGATAACGGTCGCCTCTACCCCCCGCCCTCTGATAACGGTCGCCTCTACCCCCCGCCCTCTGATAACGGTCGCCTCTACCCCCCGCCCTCTGATAACGGTCGCCTCTACCCCCCGCCCTCTGATAACGGTCGCCTCTACCCCCCGCCCTCTGATCACGGTCGCCTCTACCCCCCGCCCTCTGATAACGGTCGCCTCTACCCCCCGCCCTCTGATAACGGTCGCCTCTACCCGCGGCCCTCTGATCACGGTCGCCTCTACCCCCGCCCTCTGATAACAGTCGCCTCTACCCCCCGCCCTCTGATAACGGTCGCCTCTACCCCCCGCCCTCTGATCACGGTCGCCTCTACCCCCCGCCCTCTGATCACGGTCGCCTCTACCCCCCGCCCTCTGATCACGGTCGCCTCTACCCCCCGCCCTCTGATAACGGTCGCCTCTACCCCCCGCCCTCTGATAACGGTCGCCTCTACCCCCCGCCCTCTGATCACGGTCGCCTCTACCCCCCGCCCTCTGATAACGGTCGCCTCTACCCCCCGCCCTCTGATAACGGTCGCCTCTACCCGCCGCCCTCTGATAACGGTCGCCTCTACCCCCCGCCCTCTGATCACGGTCGCCTCTACCCCCCGCCCTCTGATAACGGTCGCCTCTACCCGCGGCCCTCTGATCACGGTCGCCTCTACCCCCCGCCCTATGATAACGGTCGCCTCTACCCCCCGCCCTCTGATAACGGTCGCCTCTACCCCCCGCCCTCTGATCACGGTCGCCTCTACCCCCCGCCCTCTGATAACGGTCGCCTCTACCCCCCGCCCTCTGATCACGGTCGCCTCTACCCGCCGCCCTCTGATCACGGTCGCCTCTACCCCCCGCCCTCTGATCACGGTCGCCTCTACCCCCCGCCCTCTGATCACGGTCGCCTCTACCCGCGGCCCTCTGATCACGGTCGCCTCTACCCCCCGCCCTCTGATAACGGTCGCCTCTACCCCCCGCCCTCTGATCACGGTCGCCTCTACCCCCCGCCCTCTGATAACGGTCGCCTCTACCCCCCCGCCCTCTGATAACGGTCGCCTCTACCCCCCGCCCTCTGATAACGGTCGCCTCTACCCCCCGCCCTCTGATAACGGTCGCCTCTACCCGCGGCCCTCTGATCACGGTCGCCTCTACCCCCCGCCCTCTGATAACGGTCCCCTCTACCCCCCGCCCTCTGATAACGGTCGCCTCTACCCCCCGCCCTCTGATCACGGTCGCCTCTACCCCCCGCCCTCTGATAACGGTCGCCTCTACCCGCGGCCCTCTGATCACGGTCCCCTCTACCCCCCGCCCTCTGATAACGGTCGCCTCTACCCCCCGCCCTCTGATAACGGTCGCCTCTACCCCCCCGCCCTCTGATAACGGTCGCCTCTACCCGCGGCCCTCTGATCACGGTCGCCTCTACCCCCCGCCCTCTGATAACGGTCGCCTCTACCCCCCGCCCTCTGATAACGGTCGCCTCTACCCCCCGCCCTCTGATAACGGTCGCCTCTACCCGCGGCCCTCTGATCACGGTCGCCTCTACCCCCCGCCCTCTGATAACGGTCGCCTCTACCCGCGGCCCTCTGATAACGGTCGCCTCTACCCCCCGCCCTCTGATCACGGTCGCCTCTACCCCCCGCCCTCTGATAACGGTCGCCTCTACCCCCCCGCCCTCTGATCACGGTCGCCTCTACCCCCCGCCCTCTGATAACGGTCGCCTCTACCCGCCGCCCTCTGATAACGGTCGCCTCTACCCCCCGCCCTCTGATCACGGTCGCCTCTACCCCCCGCCCTCTGATAACGGTCGCCTCTACCCCCCGCCCTCTGATCACGGTCGCCTCTACCCCCCGCCCTCTGATAACGGTCGCCTCTACCCCCCCGCCCTCTGATAACGGTCGCCTCTACCCCCCGCCCTCTGATCACGGTCGCCTCTACCCCCCGCCCTCTGATAACGGTCGCCTCTACCCCCCGCCCTCTGATCACGGTCGCCTCTACCCCCCGCCCTCTGATAACGGTCGCCTCTACCCCCCGCCCTCTGATAACGGTCGCCTCTACCCGCGGCCCTCTGATAACGGTCGCCTCTACCCCCCGCCCTCTGATAACGGTCGCCTCTACCCCCCGCCCTCTGATAACGGTCGCCTCTACCCCCCGCCCTCTGATAACGGTCGCCTCTACCCCCCGCCCTATGATCACGGTCGCCTCTACCCCCCGCCCTCTGATAACGGTCGCCTCTACCCCCCGCCCTCTGATAACGGTCGCCTCTACCCCCCGCCCTATGATCACGGTCGCCTCTACCCCCCGCCCTCTGATAACGGTCGCCTCTACCCCCCGCCCTCTGATAACGGTCGCCTCTACCCCCCCGCCCTCTGATAACGGTCGCCTCTACCCGCGGCCCTCTGATCACGGTCGCCTCTACCCCCCGCCCTCTGATCACGGTCGCCTCTACCCCCCGCCCTATGATAACGGTCGCCTCTACCCCGCGGCCCTCTGATCACGGTCGCCTCTACCCCCCGCCCTCTGATAACGGTCGCCTCTACCCCCCGCCCTCTGATAACGGTCGCCTCTACCCCCCGCCCTCTGATAACGGTCGCCTCTACCCCCCGCCCTCTGATAACGGTCGCCTCTACCCCCCGCCCTCTGATAACGGTCGCCTCTACCCGCGGCCCTCTGATAACGGTCGCCTCTACCCCCCGCCCTCTGATAACGGTCGCCTCTACCCCCCGCCCTCTGATAACGGTCGCCTCTACCCCCCCGCCCTATGATCACGGTCGCCTCTACCCCCCGCCCTCTGATAACGGTCGCCTCTACCCCCCGCCCTATGATCACGGTCGCCTCTACCCCCCGCCCTCTGATAACGGTCGCCTCTACCCCCCGCCCTCTGATAACGGTCGCCTCTACCCCCCGCCCTCTGATAACGGTCGCCTCTACCCGCGGCCCTCTGATCACGGTCGCCTCTACCCCCCGCCCTCTGATCACGGTCGCCTCTACCCCCCGCCCTATGATAACGGTCGCCTCTACCCGCGGCCCTCTGATCACGGTCGCCTCTACCCCCCGCCCTCTGATAACGGTCGCCTCTACCCCCCGCCCTCTGATAACGGTCGCCT